AGGCGCATCGCCCTTGGCTCCCTCGCCCTGCCCGCCCGGCCGCCGCTAAGCTGCTTCTAGCGGCTCCACGTGACGCCCGAACCCACGGACCCGGGGCGGGAGTGTGCTGGTCCCGGGGTGCAGCGAGGCCCGAGAGAGCAGCACCCACCGGAGGCCCGCGGCTGGAAGGCCGCAGGAGCGACCTCTCCTTGGCTGGGGCACCCCAGGCCCGGGCCCTGCAGCCCCAGCCGAGGCGAGGCGGGCGCGGGGAGCCAGTGAAGCCGGGCAGAGGAAGGGCAGCGGCAGGCGCGCTCGGGGCTGCCTGGGCCAGGAGCCCCGTGCTCAGTCCGGGAGGCCCCAGGAGCCGCCTGGGGCTGTGAGAGGCCCCGAGAATGAGCTTTCCCTTCCCTCAGCTGCCGTCCCTCCCCCTGCTTTTTCTCTTTCAACTGATCAGACTCCAGGCTTCCAGCAGCTGAGATTCACAGGACCGGGGTGGGGAGCGCAGGCGCCGCCGCCTCCTGCACCCCTCCCCGTTCCCCAGCCCCCGCAGGGCCACTCTGGCTCCCAGCACCCAGTCACGCCTCGCCCACTCCTTGGGGTGCCCACAGACCAGGGCCCAGCCTGAGCGCTGCACGCCCCTCCCCACCGCACCAGGCTGCGGGGGCGCGGGGGTGCCAGAGTGGAGCAGGAGTGCTGGTCCCCCCCACCCCAGCCGCCCTTCTCCTAGGCCCCCCCGTCTCCAGGTTACAGACAGGGCTCAGCGGCGAGAGCTCAGGGCCTGTCCAGCGTCCCTCAGCCAGCACCCCAGGGCCCAGGTTCCAGCGGGGGGCTCACCCGCCCCACTTCCGGGGGGTCAGACCATGGCCTCAGGCTGGGAAGGAGCCAGCTGGCCGGAGCCTGGCTGACTGTGCGCCCCCACAGCTCCCGGCGCCCCCCCGGACTCCATGAGGGATGAGGAAGCAGGATCTGCGGACGGGCGGGGAGGCTGGCCAGGGCCACGGCGCCGGCTCCCCAGCCGAGCAGGTGAAAGCTCTCGTGGACCTGCTGGCAGGGAAGGGTAGTCAGGGACCGCCGGCCCCACTGACGCCCCCCAGGACGCCCGAACCCCCGCGGGGAACCCCTGGCAACGGTAGGCAGAGGAGGGTGTCCCTGTACCTGGCCCGGCCCTCCCCCTCCCCCCAGCCCGCCACTGGCCTCTGTCCCTGCAGACTCCAGGACACAGAGGCACCGGGAGTCTCTGCTGGGCAGGGTGGGCAGCGGCCAGGAGCTGGGCGGCCCCCAGGCCCGGCTGACCAGCGCGCAACTGGCCTCTGTCCCTGCAGACTCCAGGACACAGAGGCACCGGGAGTTCCTGCTGGGCAGGGCGGGCAGCGGCCAGGAGCTGGGCGGCCCCCAGGCCCGGCTGACCAGCGCGCAACTGGCCTCTGTCCCTGCAGACTCCAGGACACAGAGGCACCGGCAGTTCCTGCTGGGCAGGGCGGGCAGCGGCCAGGAGCTGGGCGGCCCCCCGGCCCGGCTGAGCAGCCTCCTGCTGGCCGAGGGACTGACAGACCTGCAGCTGAGGGAGCATGACTTCACGCAGGTGGAGGCCGCCCGCGGGGACTGGCGCTCCGGCCGCGCCATCACGCTGGACAGGCTCTTCCTGCCCCTGACACGGGTGTCCATCCCGCCCCGGATCTCCATCACCGTCGGCGTGGCCGGCGTGGGCAAGACCAGCCTGGTGAGGGGCTTCGTGGGCCTCTGGGCCCGGGGGCAGGTCGGCCAGGACTTCTCGCTGGTGCTGCCTCTGACCTTCCGGGACCTCAACGCCCACGAGCGGCTGTCCGCCGACAAGCTGGTCTGCTCCGCCTTCCCGCACATAGGGGAGCCCGGGCTGGCCACGGCCGCCCTGGCCAGGGTCCTCCTGGTCCTGGACGGCTTGGACGAGTGCAAGACCCCCCTGGACTTCGCCAACACGGCAGCCTGCACGGACCCCAAGAAGGAGCTGCAGGTGGACCACCTGATCACCAACATCATCCGGGGCAACCTCTTCCCGGAGGTCTCCATCTGGGTCACCTCGCGCCCCGGCGCGGCCGGCCAGATCCCGGGCGGCCTGGTGGACCGGCTGACGGAGATCCGGGGCTTCAACCAGGAGGAGATCAGGGTGTGTCTGGAGCAGATGTTCCCCGAGGACCAGGCCCTCTCGGGCTGGGTCCTGGGCCAGACGCGGGCTGACCGGGCCCTGTACCTCATGTGCACCGTCCCTGCCTTCTGCCGGCTGGCGGGGTCAGTGCTGGGCCACTGGCGTCGCAAGGGGCCGGGGCCCCAGGCCTCGGAGCTGTGGCCGCCCAGGACCCTGAGTGAGCTCTACGCCTGGTACCTGAGGATGGCTCTGGGCGCCGAGGGGCAGGACAGGGGCCGCTCCAGCCCTCGCACCGAGCAGGTGGCACACAGTGGCCGCAAGCTGGTGGTGACGCTGGGCCGGCTGGCCTTCCACGGGCTGCTCAGGAGGAAGTTCGTGTTCTACGAGCCGGACCTGAAGGCCTTCGGCGTGGACCTCCCGCAGCTGCAGAGTGCGCTGGGCAGCCAGCTCCTGCAGCGGGAGGACACGCTGGGCCCGGCGGCCGCCTTCTTCTTCGCCCACCTGTCCCTGCAGGAGTTCATGGCGGCTGCCTACTACTGCAGCGCGGCCCGGAAGGCCATCTTCGACCTCTTCACCGAGGGCGGCGTGTCCTGGCCCCGGCTGGGCTTCCTCACACACTTCCGGAGCGCGGCCCAGCGGGCCATGCAGGCCGAGGACGGGCGGCTGGACGTCTTCCTGCGCTTCCTGTCGGGCCTCCTGTCTCCGCGGGTCGGCACCCTGCTGACGGGCCTGCTGCTGGGCCCGGGCGAGCAAGGGGGCCAGCGGGCGCAGGTGGCCGAGCTCCTGCAGGGGTGCCTGCGGCCCGACGCGGCCGTCTGCGCCCGGGCGGTCAACGTGCTGCACTGCCTGCACGAGCTGCAGCACACGGAGCTGGCCCGCGGCGTGGCAGGCGCCCTGGACAGCGGGGACCTGGCGGGGCTGACCACAGCCCCACACCGTGCCGCCCTGGCCTACCTGATGCAGGTGTCGGACACCTGCACCCAGGAGGCCGATGTGCCCCTGCGCCTCAGCCCAGGCGTCCTCCAAAGCCTGCTGCCCCAGCTGCTGTACTGCCGGAGCCTGAGGTGCACATGTGCGCGCGGGGTGTGCGTGGGGCGTGTGTGTGCGCACAGGTGTGTGTATGCACAAGTCGTGTGCGCGCACGGGCGTGTGTGCGCGTCCATGTGTGTGCATGCACAGGCATGCGTGTGGGTGTGCGCACGGAGCGTGCGTGTCCCTCTGTCCCTCCGGTGAGTGCCTGCTACTCTGCAGCAACGGAGCCCGGGCGGAAGCGGGGTGTCGTCAGGGCCGTGCTCCCTCCGGAACCTGAGGGGGCCCCTTTCTGGCCCTCAGCTTGAGGTGCTGCCGGCACCCCAGCTTGCGGGCTTTCACCCAGGGTGTCCACGGCCACTGGACCGAGGGTCCCTCGCAGCTCCCACCCCCCGGAAGGCCCATCACGGCACAGCCACGCCTGGCCGCAGTGCCTGGGGACCTGTCACACTTGGGCGCGACGGCCAGACAAGGGCTTCCAGGGGCGCTGGGGTGCACAGTTCCAGCCATCCCCTTGGGGAACACGCTGCAGCACAGAACTCTGTGGCCATCCTGGCACCCAAGCCCCTGACCCCCGCTGCTCTGACCTCCGTGAGGGGTGGGAGGCAGGGTGGCCGCCAGGCCTGGCAGCCACGCCCCTTCCTGGTGGGGACAAGGGGCCTTGAGGGTGGACCTGGGGCTCCAGCCTCAGAGCTGCCCAGTCTGCCTGACCAGGGCTGGGCCCGTGTAGACGGCACACAGGGATGGAGAGGGCAGGCACCCAGCCTGGGCTGCTGCCCTGCTGGCCCTCGTCAGGGGCCTCACTTGCTGCCTTCTAAGCAGGCTGGACACCAACCAGTTCCAGGACCCGGTGATGGAGCTGCTGGGCAGCGTGCTGAGCAGGAAGGACTGTCGGATTCAGAGGATCAGGTAACGCGCAGGGAGCCGCGGCCGGCCTGCCTGGAGGCCCAGCGCCACCTGCCCTCTGCTCAGATCCCTGGGCCGCTTCCGGGGGCTGTGTCAGCCAGAGGCAGGACTGTGTCCTTGAAGGGACCGGGGGGCTGGCACCACTCGCCAGGGCCAACCCCCTCTGCAGGCGACGCTAGTCAACTCTCACGTGTGGGGAGGGTCAAACAGCACCCCGAGGCCCTCCAGGACAGCCCCCATTCCAGGAAGAGACACGCAGAGTCCACGTCCCTACTGGACATATCCAGGGCATCCTCTGAAATCCCGCGTGACTCAGGGAGTCTTACAGGAATAATAAGAGCCCCAGAGGGGAAGGTTCTAGAAAGCCAGAACTTCCTAGAACTTGAGAACACTGTGGTCAGGTGCACAGTCTTCACCCCGAACCCCTTACAGTCACAAGCCAAGGACAGCCCCACAGGGAGCTGGGAGCCGCAGGGCTGAGAGAAGAGGGGTCCCAGAGACCCCTGAATCGGAGGGGGTTGGGAGAACCTCCTCAGTGAGCACTTCTGGGGGTGACACAGCCAGCATGGACCCCGCAGCGTGGCCGCAGCGGGGTCTCAGGACGACACGAGGCGGCCTTCTCACACCCTTGTGCTAGGGAAGGCCACAGGAGCTGGGGTGCTGGGTCAGTCCAGCCGGTGAACCCTGCTTCCACGTGCTAGGGACCTCCCGGCGGCGGCGGCTGGGCGCTGACGAGGGACTTGCGCAGCTCGGCTGCCGTGCGCACCAGGG